GCTCTAGGCTGAGCCCTGCCCCTGCCTCGGCCTCCGGCACGGCTTCAGCCTCGACCTATGCCCCGCGTAGGAGCTGCCACTGGAGGCTCTGGCTGCTGCTCAAATGAGGAAGTGGTACGTGTTCTCGCCATCTGCGAGAGAATATGAGTAGAAGAGTTCAATCAGTATTGAGAAAGCCAAAATCGCACGACGGAGAAGAATAGAAGTAAAACTTGTTCCTAAACTTCATAGCCTCTGGAAGATAAGCACAGACGTCTCCGTGCCGATCCTCCAGACTCTACTATGCTTGCTCATGAATCGTGAGACTTAAGCAACCTAGTGCTCTGATACCAACTATCACGACCCAAAATTTCCCACTGACGGGACCGTGATGGCGCCTAGCATTTCACTTGCCAAGCAAGCTAACGTTAGAGAATCATTAAACCAATTCCTTATTTCCATTCAGTAAATAACAATAATTAACTAAGATGAAATATAATAAGTGCGGAATATCATAAAACTGTGTTAATTACTACCACCCGGATCTGGAGTCATAATTCACGAGCATTATAGAATTTGCTACAAGTAATAGTCAGAAAGAAATACAATTGTCTGAATGAAAGAAACAATAGAACAGAAAAGATAGACGGGGACTTCAAGGTCTGTGAACGCCGACAGACCTACCTTGAGTCTCCGGACAACGGACCAATAGCAAAATCTCGATCAACCCGAGCCGATATAAAAATCTGCACAAAAAATGCAGAGTGCAGTATCAGTACAACCGACCCTATGTACTGGTAAGTGTCGAGCCTAACCTCGATGAAGTAGTGACGAGGCTAAGGCAAGGCACCTACAAATCAACCTGTACAATTTAACAGTGTATATGCAAATAACAGAAATGAAGAACTAAACAGGAAATGTCAGGAGGGGAACATACTAAGGGGAATACAAGATAAAGAACTACAACAGAATGATCACCGGAGCAGTCTGTATACCATGAATCAACAGGAATAGTGAATACAGTAAGGAAAAATGCACGGCATCACCCTTCGTGCTTTTACTCTCAATCTCACCATAAAATTAATAGAAACGGCACGACATCACCCTTCGTGCATTAAATCTCATATCATGGCACGGCATCACCCTTCGTGCATTAACTCTCATATCACAGCACGGCATCACCCTTCGTGCATTAACACTCACAATATGGCACGGCATCACCCTTCGTGCATTAACACTCACAATATGGCACGGCATCACCCTTCATGCATTAAAACTCACAATGTGGAACGGTATCACCCTTCGTGCATTAACACTCTCCCTTACCATAATTCAATGCATAATAATAACAGAGAGATAGAATAACAAGTACAAACCTTACTTCAACATTTGGTTCCATAATATCAATCTCAAATTTGAAATAAAAACTTAATTATCACCAGAAAATCCGTAAACATGATAAGAACAATAAATTGAACAACACTAGTATAACACGTAGCAATTTGGCATAGGAATGAGACAATATAAGAAGAACAAAGAAACATGGAAAATAGGTAAATTGGCGGTGCATAAGTACTCGTCACCTCACATATACGCCGCTCACATGAATTTCACTTAGCAACTAATCTAAGGTTCCTAATTCCCTCAAGTCAGGATTAAACACAATACTTACCTCGCTCTGAAGGCCACTTAATTCTCAATCACAGCTTTTCCTTTGAAATTTACCTCCAAATCACTCGTATCTATTCAAAAATGACTCAATAATATCAAATATTGCTAAAGGAATCAATTATATTGCATAAATTAAATTTCCCAAATTTTCCTCCAAAAAGTCGAAAAATCGACCCCGGGCCCGCTTGGTCAAAACTCGAGGTTCGAACCAAGATCCATTCACCCATTCATCCCTGAGCCCGAATATATAATTGATTTTGGAATCCGACCTCAAATTGAGGTCTAAATCCCCAAATTTTCTGAAATCCCTTGTTTCTACCCTAACCCCTAATTCTACTATGAAAACTCTAGATTTTAGGTTAAAACTTCAAGAAATGTAATGGGTAATTGAAAGAAAATGGTTTAGAATCACTTACCAACAATTTGGGGGAAGAAATATCTCTTGAAAATCGCCTCTCACCGTTTGATTTTTGAGAAAAATGAGTTTCTGGCTAAAATCCCGTTTTTGGATTTTGTTAAGTGCTGGGCGACAGTGTTCATCGTGTTTGCGAGAGCACTGTCGCGTTAGCGAGAGCACTGTCGTGTTCACGAAGGGTACTGGCTGCCAAGCCTTCGCGTTCGTGAGACCCAGTTCGCGTTCGCGATGGTTACTCTCCCCTGGCCTTCGCGTTCGCGATGACGGAACAGCTAACTCCCCCCCAATGCCTAACATTACGCGTTCGCGATGGGCTTGTCGCGTTCGCGAAGGGAAACGCCCCCATCGCTTCGCGTTCGCGACCAAGCCTTCGCATTCGCGAAGAAGAAATTCCTACCTCATCAGTTTACTCTTCGCGTTCGCGAGAGGACCTTCGCGAACGCGAAGAAGGACATGCCAGAACCCATACTCTACAAAAAAACTAGATTTTCAAAGTCCAAAACATCCCGTGGCCTATCCGAAACTCACCCGAGCCCTCGGGGCTCCAAACCAAATATGCACACAAGTCTAAAAATATCATACGAACTTGCTCGCGTGATCAAATCGCCAAAATAACACCTAGAACTATAAATTTAGCACCAAATCAAATGAGATTCTCAAGAACACTTTAAAATTCATATCTTCTCAACTGGACGTCCGAATCACGTCAAATCAACTCCGTTTCTCACCAAATTTCACAGACAAGTCTTAAATATCATAATGAACCTGTACCGGGCTCCAGAACCAGAATACGGATCCGGCACTAACAATGTCAAACATCAATCAATTCTTAAAAATAATTAATTTTCAGACTTTTAATTTTCATCAAAAATTCATAACTTAAGCTAGGGACCTCCGAATTTGATTCCGGGCATACGCTCAGGTCCCATAATTTGATACGGACCCACCGGGACCGTCAAAGCACGGATCCGGGCCCGTTTACCAAAAATGTTGATCGAAGTCAACTAAAATCAACTTTTAAGGTAAAAATTCTTATTTTTATTAGTTTTCAACATAAAAGCTTTTCGGAAACCTGTCCGGAATGCACACACAAATCGAGGAGGGTAAAAAATGAGATTTGTAAGGCTTAAGAGCTCAGATTCGAGTTCTAAGATATAAGATGACTTTTTGGGTCATCACACCACTATAGTAACCTTTTGAGACCCCTAATACCTATCTCGCGGCTTCCCTAATGCAATGCGTAGTCGTGGTCCACATAGCGCTTGCTTCCCCACTACTCCTCCACTCCCCCATAGTCACCAGCTTGACCCCCAACTCCTACATTTTAGCTTCCGTCTAGGCTCCCCACTTTATCTTATGTTGGATATACATCGCCCTCTTCCTCCTCTTCCTCGTGATCTCAAGGTCCATGAACAGGAGCCTATGAAGGGTTGAGAGGTTCTGACTCAGGATGACCTTGAAATCCGTGCAAAGACCTCTATCAGACTTCCTGCAGAGTAAATAATCAATCTGAGTCTCGGCCACCGAACTACGGAAGGTGACCAAGTGCTCCCTCTTCTTCGAAAAACTCGAGTTTGCTAACACCAAATCAAATGCTCTAGAAAAGTCCAGCAGAGATGTTTCTCCTCCGTTTCTAACTCCAAAACCAAAGCCACCATGCACATCATCATACCATTAGACGTCGCTCCAATGTGGCTGTTGAAATCTCCTCCTATTAAAAGCTTCTCGGTATGCGGGATACCACACACCATCTCATCTAAATCCTCCCAGAAACGTCTCTTGGATTCCTCATCCAAACCTTCTTGGGGTGCGTACGCACTGATTATGTTCAAAGTAAAACCTCCAACAACTAGCTTAATAGTCATCAACTTGTCATTCACCCTCATAACTTCCACCACTAGTTCACGGAGGTTCTTATCAACCAAGATACCTACCCTGTTCCTGTCCCCCATCCTCCCAGAATACCAAAGTTTAAAACTGCCCATATCCCGCATCTTATCTCCTACCCACCTAGTCTCCTATATACAAGCTATATTAATCTTCCTTTTCTCGAGAATCTTCGCTAACTCTACACAATTTCCAGTCAAAGTTCCTATGTTCCAAGACCCCACTCTCAGCCTAGTATCTCCCTTAGACCTCTTACCCCCCTTACCCCCTCCCCCACGCTGATACTCCCGAGGAAAAGACCTTACCCTACCATCGTTCACCAAAGCCATTATAATCTAGGAGTCACTACGCAAGCACTATCCCGAAAACAAGCGACAAAAATAAAATGAATTACAGAAATATAATCTACCACTAAAGGTCGCAAAATAGGTAAAAAAGTAAAATAAAGGAACTAACGGGAACTATAATCTACAACTAAAGGTCAGAAAATATGTGAAGAAATAAAACAAAGAAACTAAAGGAACTATAATCTACAACTAAAGAATAGAAAAATATGTGAAGAAATAAAACAAAGAAACTAAAGGAACTATAATCTACAACTAAAGAATAGAAAAATATGTGAAGAAATAAAACAAAGGAACTAAAGGAACTATAATCTACAACTAAAGAATAGAAAAACATGTGAAGAAATAAAATAACGAAACTAAAGGAACTATAATATACAACTAAAGAAACTATAATATACAACTAAAGGATAGAAAAATAGGTGAATGCACTAAATAAGAGTACAAGTAATTAAAATAAATATAATCTACAAACTAGAAATCCCAAGACAGTTACTATCAAGAAAGTAGACAAGCAAATACACTAATTAAGAGTACAAGTAGACAATCAAGAATTAGGCTTAATCTATCCCAAACTAATTGGTTAACAAGGAAAATAGAAATACTGATTGAAGAATAGGAGGTACCAACTCCCGATAAATATAAACAAGAGCGACAGAACCTAGATTGTAGAAGGACTTCCAAATCGACTAGACCCTGGTTGAATGTCGCCTTGAGCCAAGATACCCGCTGAAAATCTGAACTCTAACTGCAGTGCCGACCACCCGAATGAAAAACTGCTCACCAAAAAACTGCCTGACCTGAATTCCATGGCTGACGCTTGTAGTCTGCGTCGGAAATTTGATTGGAGAACCTTTTCACAAACACACCACACACACACAGAACGAGAGGGGAGGGAACAGAGTTGGGGAAAGAGAGAACTCTCGTTGTGCGTTCAAGAAAAGAAAGAAGCGGCAGTGTAGTAGAGAGAAGGGAGCCACTTGTAGCCAACCTTTTCAGTATCCAATGATCAGCCACTTGTTGGATCTTGATTTTTCCAGAAACCAGGTAGTAATTTTTCAAGAAATGGAAGTAGTTTTCCTGTTGTATTATGGAATCGGGAGGTGGTGGATGGAGAAGAAGAAGAAGGGCGGCCGCTGCCGGTCGCCGCCGATATAGGGTGGTTGATAGATATTAGTTAAATATTTTAAAAATACAGTTAGCAAATGGTTGTATTTATTTGTATGAAATACTTACACACTCGTAGCAATCTGTATTACATACTGATAGTTGAGTTCTATAACGTACTGATAGGGATAAAGAGACTATAGAGGTAAAATAGTTTTCTTACTCATAATCCATAGAGATATTTTTCACTATATACTCCGCAATAATGTTTGATTAGAGTAGACTTTTGTAGGCCAGGTTGGGGAATGTAGGGAATAATGATCGACTATTTCTTCTGAGACCAAATAAAGCAAGTCTGATCACATTCATTCTTTTGTAACACCAAAAAAAATCCTTATATACGAATGTATGATTCCCAATGTGCGATAATTTTATATTAATCGAAAACTTTATAGTCTTGATGAACGGGATTCCTCCTAATAAATGATGAAAAATGCATATTTTTAGTATATTTGCATATTATTTCTTGTGTGAGTTACGAGAGAGTACATGATTTTTGAAGTGAAATATACTCATTACGTATTTCTTGTGTGTAAGAGTGAGTTCGGATGATAATGGATCAAAAGATAGCAAATTTGTACAAAAAGGAAAAGATGGAAGGATTGGGAGCTCGCCTATTCTCGCGCATGACACAAAAACAGACTCAAAAAAGAAGATAATTGAATGCACAAAATAATGAAGTAAAGAGAAAGCACGGATCACTTCACGAAATGGAAAATTGCAAAAGCTGAGCCCGCATTTATGGTCACGCGACGCACGAGCATGGACGCGGATTCCAGCTTTCCTATCTGAGTTGGACGGCCATTCACCCTACCTAGGTCATATAAATACACTCTAAACATGGATTTTAGAGAATTTTGGAGGGAGAGACACTACTTTAGGGCTAGACAACACATTTGGAGGAAAGAATATGCTAGGAGCAAGGAGGAAGATTCAACCACGAGTTTTTCCTTTCTTCTTCCTATTTTCTATTGTTGGTTATGAATTTTAGTATTGTATTTCTACATACTATTATGAGTATCTAATTTATTATCTAGAGCTTTGATGAAACCTTTTGTAGGATAAATTCTTGTAATATTTTTATATAATTGAGTCGTTGAATTTCTCTACGTGTTTAGTCGTGTTTATTGTTGTTGATTGAATGGTCATCAATTGACTGTGCCTATTTATTATGTATTTCTTGGTAAATAGTACATATTTTGGTGGTTGTTGAACAATGCCACTCCTAATGTATGTGTGGAATCAATATGGCGGTTTAAAGGTGGTATTAGGAATAATAAAGTTTTGACGTGGTCATAGTGCCACCTAGTGTAATTCAAAAAACTATATCTAGTAAATTATTGTAGTTGCTCGATAGAGAATTACGACACCGAAAGTGCTCACGATCAGTAGAGAATACTTAGGCGAAATTATAGGAGACATACCGGGAAGGATTCTGACAACTGATGAAATCATAACTCTAGGCCTCCTTAATCTTGTATCCAACCCTTAGTATCTCTAGTTATTAATTTACAACTTTATTTTATTAGTTAATTATTTAGATAAAAGAATCTTAATATTTATAATGTAGGAATTGTTTGAGCTTGTCGTTTTAGAGATAGTGAACAGTTGTAGCTAAGTCTTAGTTCTCTATGGGATTCGACTCCGCACTCTTAGACCGGATTATATTTGCAGCGACCGCTTATCCTTTTTAGGACAAGATTTGGGCGTGATCAAATCTTGGCGCCGTTGTCGGAGAACTAACGATGTAACGGTAGGTGTACATATTGCTAGGTTTCAAGTTTGAACTTTTATTTTATTTTCTAGTATTTGATTTTTATTTTAGTTTTAGTTGTTGATTTGAGAAACATGGCATCTCGGAATCATGGGAGTTTTGATTTTGGTAATTCTACTGTCGCTCAATCCAATTAAGTCCGTAGCGTCTACCGATTTCGCCATATCCCCTTTTCGGAGGAAACCACTATTGACGGCTAATTTTGACCATCCCTTTTTAAATTAATTTATTTATACTTAATAATTTTTAATAAATATTTTAAGAGTATTTTCTAGTAACAAATACTTATTTTTTACAAATTAATTAAGTACTAGTTTTAAAATTAATCACATAGTATTAATATTATGTGATTACAAATATATTTACTATTTTAAGATTATTAAAATAACTGTTTATATATACATTACATAGGTTCTATAATTAATTTGATAAATTATTCCTTAATTTCTAGTAAATTAGGTTACTAGTTTAATAATTCAAAATTGGTGTTACAATTTAGAAAAAAAAAAGTATTTTATAAAGAATCAATAATTACTAGTATATATAATAATTATAATTTTGCCACATTTATTGAAAATTATTAAGTTTATTTAAATTAAATTCAAAAAGGGATTAAAAGACAAAGGGGCTACAATTGCAATTCTCCGTCAAACGTAAAATGACCATCTTTTAAATTATTTCTGGACCAACGTGCAAGCCCAATCCGAAATATACCCAGTCCAAACAATCCTCTCTTTCCACCGTGGCAATCCGTGCCATTTCTTTTGCACCAATCAACGCGTGCCACGTTACCCTCCCTCGCCACTCACAGAACAAACACACTCACATCTGAGCCATTGGTCCATCTGATCAATAGTTCACATTTAATTTCCGATTTTCTCTTCATTTTAAACACCCACCCCAGAGATCTCATCCCCACCGTCCAAATCCCATGATCTAACAGACACAAAAATTTCCCCTATAAATCCTAAATGATCTAAATTATCAGGGCCGTTGATCATCAGATCCAACGGCCCATGTTCTGTCTCTCATCGTTAACCTAGAGACGGATCCTATTTCCCCCCAAACCCTAATCATTTCCTCTTTGACACAGCCGCCATCATTTCCCTTTACTCTCTCTCTTTTCTCTCATATCCATCAACCATCAATCTTAGAACCTTGCACAAATTTGTGCAAGGTCACCTAAAACCACTGGAAATCATCCCTTCTATCCCTGCTACACCACGAATCTCGCTGATAATTTCCTCTTTCGATCACAAACTCAAGACCCCTAATCCGAAACCCTAAGCTCGAAAAGGAAACCATCTGATTTTCTCTCATGAGTCAAAGATCAATGTCTGAAACTACCCTTTGCCTTTTGAAATCCGCGAATCCAGCCAGCTATTCCCTATCTCATCATTCAAAATTCAAAACGCCCAAATCTGAACCCTAGACTCAAAGATGGAACTTCAAATCTTCGAATTTCCTCCGTGTTCTGTCAAATCGGAGCATGCATGGAGTTGATCTCAGCATTCATCATGAGGATTCGATGGCCAGAGGTCAAAATTAATGACCTCGGGACATTAGAGTTTTAACCGCTGGTCCAAAGCTTCAACGGTCAATCTCCTTGTGCTCAGGTAAATTCGACCTTGTTTTCCCCTCTGTTTTCTTTCTGATTTCACTCGATTTTGCTATCATCATCAATCTTTCATCACTTTACACTCATGATTTTGAATCCGATTGAAACCCTAGAGCCTTAGTGGAACTATAAATAGGGACTTTAATGTTCTCACCAACACACAACCTATAATCATCTACCACAACCTAGAATCACCAACTAGAA